TAGATGCTCTTACTGGGGAACAGTTATTACAGGTAAGTATACATATACACTGTACAGTATACGTTTAATAATTATAATATCATAACATCAGATGATTTTAGTCTAACTGATGGAGAACCCTAATTACAGGTAGGCGTTCACATACATACACTGTAAAGTATGCGTTTAGTAAACGTTATGATCTCATTGCATATTGCATATTAAATGATAATGAAAACGTAATGTTTATACAATTTATAAATATCTTGAAAATGTTCCTTTAATTTGCCACAAATATAATATAATTAGAAGTATACAGTTACAAATTACAAGAATTAACCTAAATAAAAACTGAATATCATTAACTCATGCCTAGGTTTTAAATTATATAATATCCGAGATTGAACCTAAACATAAGCTGGATATAATTAACTCATGTCTAGGTTTTAAATGATTTATATCCGAGATAGAACCAAAACATAAGCTGGATATCATTAACTCATGTCTAGGTTTTAAATGATGTTATATCAGAGATAGAACCAAAACATAAGCTGGATATAAGAGAGGAACAATCTGAACAGACTACTATACGCTTGCTTGGAGCCCTCAGGTATTATATCTTAATATGATGCACTGATTTGGAATATCCTGAACAACATATATGTTCAGGTTCTTGAAATAAGAACCTCCTGAACAAATATATGTTTACGATCCTGAAGTATAAATATCCTGAACAACAAATATATGCTCAGGATACTGAAGTATAAACCACCTGAACAGCAAATATATGTTCAGGATACTAAAGTATAAACCACCTGAACAACAAATATATGTTCCGGATCCTGAACAATATTCCACCCGAACAGAAAATATATGTTCAGGATTCTGAAATATAAACCTCCTGAACAGGATCCAGAAATATAAATCTTCTGAACAACAAATATATGTTCAGGATCCTGAAGTATAAGCCTCCTGAACATCTGTCTGCACAGTTTCGTCAAGGATTGCTTCAAGGAGAGAAGCATGTAGTGTATCCTATACTAGAATGGATTTTACGAAGGATTCCAGAGTTGAAAAAACGAGCTTATCTGGCAAAGTAAGTGTTCATAACCTCTCAATATGCAATAAAGTCAATACAAAATGAGCATGACCAAGATATAAAACACCTCAGCTTATGAAGTAGGTTTTCAAAATTATGACATTTGAGGTTTCTTCAGATTCTGAGAGTAAGCTATGTCTAGAACTAGCAAGTATAGATTTGTAGTCGAGCCCTTTTTGAGAAAATTCCATGTACACTTTGTATATGTAATGAGTACGCTTAGACGGAAAAAAGGCGTCAGACTCCAAAAGTTTTCGTGAGATTATTATGCAATCCAAAATGTTTTTAGCTTTTCTTCTTAATTATTATACATCATCTGATAAATCTATGAATGTGTTTATAAATTTCAAACATTTATTAATCTTAAACGTTCATTATCTCTCAGTGATAAGTAAAAAAAAAATATGAAAAACCAAGAAACTTATTAATCGCCTCAACCTAAAATCTACTACTTACATCTTTGCAACCTGATAGTAGAAACCTTTGATATTTCATACCTTAAACTTTTGATCTGGCAGAATGCATACAGTTCGAATTATCAAAGGTGTACAACATCTGGTTGCCAAGATAGAAAGAATAGAAAATTAGAGTTTGAGGCAAGAAATCATGGTTTTATTCCAACTAATTTTTTTTAAAGCTTTATCAGCACACCCAACAAAACTTACAAAACATTTTTGGATTTAACTTTGTTTTAATCCTAAATCTATGATTAATTTAAAAATGTTATCTGGCTCCAGGTACCTGGTAAAGCTTGAAATTCCCCCGGAGGTGAGTGCTGACGTGGATGTATCCGAGGTGTACCAGCAGTACGAGCAGCTTATCACTGAGTTTACCCTGGTCCACAAGGAAAGCGAGGATATTAAGAATAGTGGATACTCTACTGCAGAACTCAGGTATGTTACTCTACTGCAGAACTCAGGCAGGTTACTCTACTGCAGATCTCAGGTAGATTACTCTACTGCAGAACTCAGGTAGGTTACTCTACTGCAGAACTCAGGTTGTTTACTCTACTGCAGAACTCAGGTAGGTTACTCTACTGCAGAACTCAGATAAGTCACTCTATTGCAGAGCTCAGTAGAGCAACCTTTACTCTACTACAGATCTCATGTAGGTTACTTTACTACAGAACTCAGGTAGGTTATTCTACTGCAGAACTCAGGTAGGTTACTCTACTGCAGAACTCAGGTATTTTCTTTCTCATTACATTTAATGTGTCTATTGTTTATAATCTTTTTCAGAGCTCCTTACTCTTCCTCTTTATTTTTCTCAAAAGCAAATACTCTTTTTCCTTATCTTTAACTTTTTATTCTCATAATGACTTTAAATTCTTCCTTCCGTGTATCCTCTGCACTAGAAGTAGTGTATCCTGAGCTGAAAACTTTAGATTGGGATATCTTTAATAACGATCATTCAATTAATCTGGAGATTAATAACAAGAGGAGATAAAGCATTATTTAATCTGGAGATTAAGAAAAAGATGAGATCAAGCATTGATCTCGATATCCACCTTTGTGAAGTTTACAGCTCTGTTCATATTTTGCAGATCCTTTCCTTCCTCAGCTTACTCAATCATAACCATCTTAAATAACGCCACAATCCTGATGTCATCTCTATGATTAGGAAGGATATAGAGGAGATGGAGAAAGAGAAAGAGATTGTGGAGCAAAGGATTGAGAGAATGCACAGAAAGGTGGAGGGAATGCCTAATATGGAGGTAGAACATTTTTTTCTTCCCATCTATACATATAATTTGTAATCTCTGTTTGGATATCTGTCTGTTTGTTTGTCCGATCATAACTTAGGAGTCCCTGAACCGAATTGTCTAAAATTTTGATTGAGGAACTCGAGAGAACCACGGGAATGTTTTTAGCTTGGTTTTGAGTGTGTCGACTTTTATAGCAAAAATTTAGTAACCTGGGCAGTTCCCAAGCTAGTCAAATATAGCGATTTAAGAGTAGAATGTATGCTGAAAGATTAAGTTTATTGCAGTATATTGATTGAGAAGGAGAAGGAGTATATTAAAGGATAATATATCTAGATAATGCTGGAGGTTGAGGATATAAACGAAGAAGGAGTATATTAAAGGATAATATATCTAGATAATGCTGGAGGTTGAGGATATAAACGGAGAAGGAGTATATTAAAGGATAATATATATCTAGATAATGCTGGAGGTTGAGGATATAAACGGAGAAGGAGTATATTAAAGGATAATATATATCTAGATAATGCTGGAGGTTGAGGATATAAACGGAGAAGGAGTATGTTAAAGGATGATATATCTAGATAATGCTGGAGGTTGAGGGTATAGAAGTAGAAGGAGTATATTAAAGGATAATATATCTAGATAATGCTGGTGGTTGGAGGTATAGAAGGAGAAGGAGTATATTAAAGGATAATATATATAGATAATGCTGGAGGTTGAGGGTATAGAAGTAGAAGGAGTATATTAAAGGATAATATATCTAGATAATGCTGGAGGTTTAGGGTATAGAAGTAGAAGGAGTATATTAAAGGATGATATATCTAGATAATGCTGGAGGTTGAGGGTATAGAAGTAGAAGGAGTATATTAAAAGATATAATATATCTAGATAATACTGGAGGTTGAGGTAGGAGGTTAAGAATGCAGAAGGAGAAGGAGAAGGAGCTACAGAATCAAAGGATTGAGCAGAGAACTGCTATAAACCATTGCAAGCAGAGAATACACAGGCTGGAGCTCCAGCTTAATGATCTCAGGTTCAAATTATAGTATTCGCTTTAAAAGGGGCAGTTTGCGTTTTTCGAAAAGTTACGAAGAAAGTCAATGTCTGGGACTTGGGTCGGGATTTTCTAAAAAACGTATTATGATCAGTTTTTTTTTCTGGAAACAGGCTGAACAGCACCAGGAAACGAAGGCTAAACAAATAGGTTTAATTTTGCGACGTTGTTTTTGGCATATGGGCTTGTAAAATGACCATAAATGTAAAAAAAATTTCTCTTTAACATAGAATCTTTTATTTATAGACAAGCCGGAGTTGGAGCTACCCCTGAAGGTTTATTACAGAAACTAGAAGAGGAAACTAAAGTAAATGTTTACATCGTAACTGAGAAACTACCTCAGGAAATAGAAACAAGGTAAACCATTCAAATAAAAATACATTTTTCACGGACAAAAATAGAAAGTTTTCTAACTTGCATTGTTCTCTCAATCTAAATACTTAATTGCTTCTTTTTTCGACAAATAATTTAGCAAACCATTATAATTATTTGCAACTACTTTACTGGGAAGTTATAGGGAATTTTACTTTACCAAGGGTTCCCAAGAACAATTTTGCCTACAAAAAACAAGAGCTCAGCGAAATTGGTCGATGGAAACCGTGGTTAAGTAATAACTATTTATAACACTATTATTTTGGTTCGCTCTGGACAAAATTAAATCTGAAAAGGCTTGAACCTTCTCGATAAAGAGAAAATTTCTGTCCAAAAACGTTGTAGCCTAGCACGTCGTGCCAAATTAATAGTGATAGGCAATTTTCTAAAACTTTCGTGTACTAGTCTTATTTTAATGGCTATTTCTATGTCAAATAAGCTTTGAAACAAAGCAGAGTCAGAATATAAAGTTGATTTCAATTTGATTTTCATTTCAATTGAAAAAAATATTTTGGAAATATCCTAAATGTTATGGAGAAATCCGGGAACCAATTTAAAACTTTATACCACACGTGCTATGGTGTACAGCTAATTTAACTTTAAAGCACGATGATTACTCAATAGCACGTTTATTATGAAATTCACGATGAAGTGAGTAAGAATGATAAAGTACACAATAGTTTCATAAAGTTTTAAAGATTTTTTTACCATTTCATTTTTACTTGGTTAACTTGAATAGAACACAATTTTTCTACTCAAAAACTCTTCAGAATAAAATAAATTGGTCAACCATATTTATAATTTCATGCTTTTCAAATATAGATTCTGAAGTTTTCAATAATATTTTGTAAGAGGTTTAAAAAAACTGTAGAATTAAGCAATGTTTGCGAAAAGTAACCTGAACTGGGAACTTTTGAATAGTGGATATCGGGATTAATGCTTGATCCTCTCTTTTTCTTAATCTCCAGAGCTTGGAACTTTAGAATGGTGGATATCGAGATTAATGCTAAATCCTCTCTTTTTCTTAATCTCGAGACTAACTTAATCTTGTATTTGTATCCTGAAAAGTGTGTAAAATTCAACCAATCAGGTTTTTGATTTTTCTCTCTATATCAAAAAAAAGAGTGGATTAAGCAAGAAATCAAAAGTGTCCACATTGGATATTCGGATTAAGCATTCGTGATAAATAGTCTCCCATTCTAAAGTTCCCAGCTCAGATTATTTAATGCTTGTTCTCCTGTTGTTATAAATTTCCAGATTAATTAACCAATCGGGATTAAGGATATCCCAATCTAAAGTTTTCAGCTCTGAGCTGAAAACTTTAGAATGATGGATATCGAGATTAATGCTTGATCCTCTCTTTGTCTTAATATCGAGACTAATCTAATCTTGTTTTGTATCCTGAAAAGTGTATAAAATTTTACTAATTAGAGTCGCGTATAAAAAGCCGATAAATTTGAAATTTTGATGCCATTTAAGATTAATATACAAAAACGGGAGGGACTCTCTGATTTAAAAAACCGGTTTTTGATTTTTCTCTACTTTATCCAAGAAAGAGTGGTTTAAGAAGAAAATCAAAAGTGTGTCCATTGGATACTCAGATTAGGTAATCGGGATTAAGGATATCTCATTCTAAAGTTTTCAGCTTTGAGTGGTTTTTAGCTCAATGTGAATTATCAATTTTTAGACGCGCCGCTGTAGACAGCCTCCAACGAGTTCTTAATCAGCCGGCTCTTGGAGCAGATGATATTGCGGTATAAATAGTTTAAACAGAATAAACAGATTAAACAGATTAAACAGATTAAACAGATTAACCGGATTAAACAGATTAAACAGATTTAGCGGATTAAACAGATCAAACAGATTAAACAGTTTAAACAAATCCAACAGATCAAACAGATTAAACAGATCAAATGGATTAAACAGATTAAACAGATTAAATTGATTAAACCAATTAAACAGATTAAACAGATTAAACAGATTAAAATTCTGTTCGAAAAAACTTAAAGCATTTGAAATAAATGTATAAGAGTATGATAGGAATATCTCACAAAGGAACTGAATTCTTGCAACAAACTCAAATTTTCTAATCTCTATTTCAACCTTTGATATTTCAAACTTATTTGTACAAAATTTCATAGTCAAACAAGAAGTTCGTAACTTTAGAAATATTTCAGTCATATTTCTTCTAAAATTGTATGTTTAGATATATTCCAATTTTTTATTGTTAGAACCTAGAATCTCGGATCCGAGAAATGAATGAGGAGATTAAAGAAATCTTGAACAATAAAAACGTATCTAATGACCCTATGGAGGATAAGCTGACCCTTTTCAGACAACAGGTATTCGCCAAACCAAAAACAGATGAACATGTTAAACGTACACGTTAAACGTTAAATGTTAAATGTTAAATGTTAAATGTTAAATGATAAATGTTAAATGTTAAATGTTAAATGTTAAATGTTAAATGTTAAATGTTAAATGCTAAATGTTAAATGTTAAATGTTAAATGCTAAAAGTTAAAGATTAAACATTAAACGTTAAACGTTAAACATCAAACATTAAACGTTAAACATCAAACATTAAACGTTAAACGTTAAACATCAAACATTAAACGTTAAACGTTAAACATCAAACATTGAACGTTAAGCGTATGCAAGCGTAATTTAAACTGATTTTACAGTCCATTTAAGTAAAATTTGGTTTCAAATCTTGTTTGTTGTCAAGTTGTCAAACACCAACATTTTCATTTCTTTCTTTTATTTGTTTTTAAAAATTAAAAATAATATAGAAAAGATATTTTTACCAACACTACTTTTTATTCTTGAATAATTTCTTTCTTTTTCAACAAGAACAATTCTTTCATTCTTTGACTACTCCTCAATTTCTTTTGAATAATCCTCTATTTTTTTTTAAATAATCCTTTATTACTTTTAAATATCTAGCCTTTAAATTAATTGTGAACATGTTCTCTTTGTGTACATCGTAAAACAAAACAAAAATAGTTCGCGGATTTTCACAAAAAATTTCGTGGGTTTTTTAAAAATTTTCAAAAATTTAATGAAGATCAAAATTTGATGGAGACAAATATTTGAAATTTTGATCATTCATAAACCTTCCCTGGGGTCCCTAGATGTCCCACAAAAAATTTGGGCCCGATCGGTTCAGACGTTTTGACGTTTATTGGATACAAACAAACAGACAGACAAACAAACAAACAGACAGACAAGCCAAATTTATATATAGATTCTCTATTTCTTTTGACTAATCCTCTATTTCTTCTGAATAATCCTCAATTTCTTTTGGATAATTTTCTATTTCTTTTAAATTTCTTTTGAATAATCCTCAATTTCTTTTGAATAATTCTCTACTTCTTTTGACTAATCCTTTATTTCTTTTGACTAATCCTCTATTTCTTTTAAATAATTCTCTATTTCTTTTGACTAATCCTCAATTTATTTTGATTAATCCTCAATTTCTTTTGAATAATTCTCTATTTCTTTTCAATTCCTTTTGTATAATCCTCAATTTTTTTTTGAATAATCCTCTATTTCTTTTGACTAATCCTATATTTATTTAAAAATAATCTTTATTACTTTTGAATAATTCTCAATTTCTTTTGACTAATCCTTTATTTATTTTGATTAATCCTAAATTTCTTTTGAATAATTCTCTATTTCTTTTCAATTTTGTTTTGAATAATCCTAGATTTCTTTTGATAATCCTATATTTCTTTGGAATAAGACTCTATTTCTTTCGTGCTAATCATCTATTTCTTATGAATAATCTTCTCCTTTCTCTTTTCTTCCAAAGTCGTATCTTACTTTTTTCTTTTAAATAGCAATGAATTAAAAAACTGGGCTGTGTGTGTGTCAGTAAGTGTGAGTGAGTGCCGCGTGTATGTGTGTGAAAATTTGCAAGATTTCAAATAAACATTAAACTAACTTTTTTTTTTTTGTGATTACAATCTTGTTTTATCAAGGCGGCGATTATTCGGCGGAAGAAAGAAACTACGGCGGAGAAATTAACTGATGTAAGAACTAACCTGGCGAATATTGAAGAGGAAATACAGGTATACTTTTCTTTGCAACTACGTTATGTCCTAAACCAAGTGAGGTATTATAATTCTTTTAAAAAGCAATTGAAGAATAGAAAATAATTGCAGTTCATATGATCTGTAAAACATGAAAAATACATTGTTTTGTTATTTTTCAATACCACCCAGTACCATTGCACATAGAATTAATACATTTTTAAAGATGCAAGTAAATGAAACTGTTTTTAAGGTTTGCACGTTAACTCTATTTCGTTAAATACGCGTGTGAACTCTGTACATATTAGCTCTATTTTAAAGAGAAAAGCATTCAAGTGGAATTCTTGTGTTTTAAACTACGCGCGGGAACTCTATACATATTAACTCTATTTCAAGAGAAAAGATCTCACGTAGAATTCTTATTCACTACTCTACGCATGTGTACTGTGTACTCCATAATTATTATCTCTATTTCAAGGAGAAAAGGTCTCAAGTAGAATTCTTATGCACTCATCTACGCATGTGTACTGTGTACTCTATAATTATTATCTCTATTTCAAGGAAAAAAGATCTCAAGTAGAATCCTTATGCACTCATCTACGTGTGTCCTGTTTACTCTATAATTATTAACTCTATTTCAAGGAGAAAAGAGCTCAAGTAGAATCCTTATGCACTCATCTACGTGTGTACTGTGTACTCTATACTTATTAACTCTATTTCAAGGAGAAAAGGTCTCAAGTAGAATCCTTATGCACTCATCTACGTGTGTACTGTTTACTCTATACATATTAACTCTATTTCAAGAGAAAAGATCTCAAGTAGAATCCTTATGCACTCATCTACGTGTGTACTGTTTACTCTATACTTATTAACTCTTTTTCAAGGAGAAAAGGTCTCAAGTAGAATCCTTATGCACTCATCTACGTGTGTACTGTTTACTCTATACTTATTAACTCTATTTCAAGGAGAAAAGATCTCAAGTAGAATCGTTTGCTGGAGAAACAATTCTCCGAGGCGAAGAGTTCAAGAAGTACGTCAACTCTCTCCGGGAGAAGAGTAACATTTATAAGCAGAGAAGAACTGAACTCTCTGATCTGAAAGCTGAATACGGAGTTCTAGAGAGGACCACAGAGATTCTCAAGTAATTATATTTGCATTATAAATATATATAAAAATTATAGTCCATTTTATAAGGTATTATCCGATTAAAAACAGTATGAATTCAATTAAAGTGTCTCTATGAATCAGATTTGTGGATTCAAGCATTAGAGCCAGAAATTGAAATTGACAAGACTGATCGATCTTTTCAACTACAGTAGAGCGACGTTACTCAAATAATGGATTAAGCTTATACCAATGCATTGTGATCTTGCAAGTAACTTTTTAAATTGAGGGTATCTTAAAATTATGACTTTACAGTCCCTTTACATTGTGTTTCAAATGATAGTAATGCTTGCTCAACCATATTATTTGCTTAGGTCTCGAGAGGAGGGTCTACTCCAACACCTTGCTGTTCAGGAGTCAGAGCAGGGGGTAGCAGGGGTTAGGGAGACTAGACAGAACCTAGAGAATGTAAGTCGAGAGGGTAGGGTGGGGGGCAGGGGGAGGGCCACCAGGAGCACTAGAAGAACATAACTAAATAGTTTAGTGGTCACTAATCAGTGGGCACATGGGGGAAAAATATATGACAGAACAGATGATCAAACATATGATAATTATGTGAACAGGGATAAAACCTATAAAATGTTGCAATTTAAGTATAAGGAAGGAACTAATTAAAATTTAAAAAAAAAGATTTTATTGAAAATCCTAAATCTCTGTATCCAGGTTGCTACGGAGAAGGCTAGTTTGGATGAGAAGAAAGGAGAAACCCTGGAAGATATGTCTAGAATGGTTCATCAACTTACCCTCAAAATATCGGAGAGAAAGGCCAGACTAGCACCGATTATAAAGGTAATATCTATACAAATCTTGAAATCATTTAAAAAAGGCCAAACTAATCCTAATTGTCTAATCCGATAATTTTACTAAATGTAAAAATATAACCAATCCACGTGGATTTAACGGGTTTGTCAATATTCTAGAAAGTTGTGACTTTCAAACACAATTTGTTCAATTAAACATAATATTTTTTAGCCTTTTTTAAAAATACTTTTTTGTCGGCATATCCATTTTGATCGACAAGTATAAACAAACAAGTTTAAAGAATGTCTAATTAAAATATATGTGGAGATGATTTTAGAAAACTAGTGTCATCAGCAAATTATAGATTAGTAAAAAAAGACGTTGCTAAAGGCAAATCGTTTATGTATATGTTTAATTAAAAACCAAAACGCATATGATTTCAAATAGAAGAAACCGAATGCCTCTAACTCTGGTTAGTCCGGGATGAATGGCATCAAAACAATTACTAAACTTCTTTAACATGATGTGATGCATTTTCAATTGTTTTAACTCTACGTAATTTGCATTTTTATTCTTAAAGGGACTGTTCGTCTGATTTCAATTGAACCTTCATGCCAAGATGACCATACCTGATTAACAGCGGTATCCTTGAAACCTTAATCTGATTAAAAATCAACCATTGTCATCTTTGGAAGGAGGTTCACTTGAAATTACGCTCACAGTCCCTTTAAAAGTCCATAAATATAGGAGCTTCGTCCGTTGCGTCAGCAGAACCAAGATCTTCAGATGGATTATGACGAAAAGAAAAGTACATATGATTCCACCGCTCTTCAGCTACAAACCAACATGGCGAAGGTTGAGATCGAAGTCAAAAAGATGAGAGAAGAGATTCAAACGGCAGAAACTAGGTTAGCGGACACTTTTACATATTTTCTTGTCTTAAACTCCTCTACTTCTATCCTAGGTTCAACTCCTCTACTTCTATCCTAGATTCAACTCCTCTACTTTTATCCTAAATTCAACTTCTCTACTTCTATCCTAGGTTCAACTCCTCTACTTCTATCATAGGTTCAACTCCTAACTTCTATCCTAGATTCAACTTCTCTACTTCTATCCTAGGTTCAACTCTTCTACTTACATCCTATAGGTCCAACTACTCTACTCCTATCCAAGGTTCAATTCCTCCACTCTTATCCTAAGTTCAATTCCTCCACTCTTATCCTGGGGTTCAATTCCTCTAATCCTATCCTAGGTTCAATTTCTCCACTATCATCCTGGGTTCAACTTCTCTTATCCTATCCAGATTCAATACCTCCACTCCTATCCTAGGTTCAACTCCTTTACTCCTTTCTTAGATCTACATATTTTAATTACATATTTACATTTACAATATTTTTTTAAAATTTGAATTTGATTTTTTTTCTTCAGGTTTCATGTGTTTGAAACTCAGAGTAAATACCTAGAAGCATGGCAGGATACTGTAGCTCTGGAGATGAAACTTTATGTTTCAAACAAGGTATTTATCCGGAATCTGGAAGGATTAAAATATATTGGTTTGCGGATTACGCATGGGCACTTGTAGGGATTAAACAAAATTATCTTTAAGGTTCGAACAAGAAACTAGGTTCAAACAAGGTACAAGGTATAAACAATGTATCTGCAAGGTTACAAGGTTCAAACAAGGTACAAGGTTCAAACAAGGTATCTGCAGTAAGGTTACAAGGTTCAAACAAGGTACAAAGGTAAAAGGTTCAAACAAGGTACAATTTTCACACAAAGAAAAAGGTTCAAACAAGGTATCTGAAAGGTTACAAGGTTCAAACAAGGCTCAAGTTAAAACAAGGTACAAAGTTTAAGCAAGCAAGGTACAAGGTTCAACAACTGTAAGAATTAAACAAGGTGAATTGAAAGTGTGAAAAAGGTACTTGCATGGATTTAAAACATGGTACATGTAAGAATTATCCAGGTATTAGCAAGGATAATCAGTGTACTGCTATCTGTATACACGTCACATGGATTTAAACTGCGTTTCAAGTTATTATGCAATTGTACATTTTTAAATTCTGACGCAGAAACTAGTTTTTCAAAATCATTATTTTACAAAAAAAGTTTTCAATCAGGTTTTTAAATATGTATACAAATTTTTGTGTACTTGAGTTGTACACAATATAACTTTGTACATTTGTAATTGAAAAGGTTAAGTTTTCCAGTAAATATAAGTATTCTGAAGTCATTTTATAAATAAATTGTAAATATTTTTAATTTTTAAATCTATTTTGCAAATAATGATTAAAATGTTAATTTTTTAAAAACATTTTTTAATCATAAAAAGTCATTTTTTGTAAAAAACTATTTTTACAATTTTTTCTCCCTTTCAGTAATCTTAAAAACCGATTAGCATAATAATTTTAACCGCAGAAGCGTCCGGCATTCTAGGATTTTACCAATATAACCTCTTTTATTTTACCGATTATTACTTGTTATTTAAAGCTTTCAACCAGAAAGTTGTATTATAAAAAATTATATTTAAACAAATTAAATTATTTCTTCTTCTGTTTTCTAGCCTGAAGATCGTAAAAGATGTTTGAGAGAAAGATTTCTTAAAATAATTTCTGACGGAGAAAAACGAAGCAAGGCTCTGAAGGTATCACACTTTCTAATATTTAAATCATATTGTACATTTTATTTATCAGTCAAGTCAAGGGTGGTGTGTTGCTCCACTGTCCCCCCTCCTCACAGCGCCCCGGCATTAGTATAAAGCCCTTACATTTTACAGTGTTCAAATACAATATTAATGTAAACAATTTCTTTCTTTTAATTCCCGCTAACCTTCAAAATGTTCTCCAGGTTTTTATTCTTGAGTTGATTTGATAATAAATATTTTGACAGGACGAGCAAAGAGCAGTGAGAGAGGCAGTCACCGACAACACGAACCAGACCAGGATGTGGGGGGACCTGGAGAAGCTGTTCATCTGTAAGAAGGAGTGTGCGGAGAGGGGTCCAGGGGGGAACAGTGGAACGGTTCTTATTGCTCCTGGAACTGAGACCCTGGTTCTCTAGGAACAGTTCTTTTTTTCTCCAGGAACTGAGACCCTGGTCCTCTATAAGCGAGAAACTCAAAGAAACAATTAACCGGGTTTTTCTTGATTAATGATGATGAGCAAATCCTTTTAGATATCTCTTAGTGGATAGTTTTATTCACTTTTAGAACATTCTTTTTTCCATTCTTTGGGCGCTAATTTCCGTATGTAACGAATAAATTTTACGTAACTTCAGTGATCGTTATATGATCTTGTTCCATCCATCGCAGAATATTTACAATTTTTGTATCACCATGCATTTAATTACAGATTAACCGCCAAAGCGAGAGGTTCATAGTCATGTCTAAACATATATAAAATTCAATTCGAAATCCTATTAGGAAACGCACCTAATCCGATTACCCGGAAGGGAAGCTAAAACTACCTATAAAAGTATCTTAATTCTTGTAATGTGTCATGAAACCAACTGGGCTTTAAATTTCATAAAGGCTACAAATAGATTGTTTCTTCACACGCCTGGGTTGGATTGGATTGGATTGGATTGGATTGGATTGGATTGGATTGGATTGGATTGGATCGGATCGGATCGGATCGGATCGGATCGGATCGGATCGGATCGGATCGGATCGGATTGGATT